GGGGCGGCGGGGCTGCAAGGAGAGCTGAGTCAGCACCGGCACAGCCCACCGCAGCCTGCCAAGGCACGGCATCCCCAGGGCAAACCCTCCCTCCGGCAGCCAGGCCAAGGACATCCTCCGAGGTAGCTTTCCAGGCCAGCTGCTGAGCCAGACCACGCCAGCGGCCAGCGTGGCCGGCCCACGGATGCTCCTACGCGTGCCCAGCAGAGATTTCCTCCTTATTCCTGACATCTGCATTCCTCCTCATCAGCTGCAGTGGAGGGGACTGGCCAGCCCGCTCCCGCCCGGCTCACCACCCACCCCCAGTGGGGCTGCTCTGGCCCTGGCACGCTCCCAGCCTGCGGCCAGACCCAGGTCGCCCTCTGCACGAGAGGGGATCCGAGGAGCGGCTACGAGCCCGCACATGCGAGGCTCCGGCGAGGCAGCGGCTCCACATGGAGACAAGATGCTGCCTGCCAGGGCTGGGAAGCTACATCCGCACTGCCACCGAGACAGCGACAGCACCCACGGCCCCTCCGACCCACCTCTCGCTCCTGCCTGGCCTCCCACAGATGCACAGTGGTAGTTCATGCTCCTCATTAGCCTAATTACACACAGACTAACAGAGCAGATCCCCAGCCGTAACTCAAAGGAGGGATTCTGGCAAGGCCGGAAGGAGAGAGCGGCTTGGCAGGGGACCAGGCGGGAGCTGCGGTCTGGACACGGAGCCCAGGAGCGCACGGGGGGGCACCAGGGCAAAGCCATCGCTGCTCCCGGCAGCGGGGACATGCTCACGCCCGGCTCCGTGTGCACGGGGGGACAGTGAGCAGTTTTCACCGAGCCACCCCTTCGAAGGGTGCCTGACACCAAAAACCCCCATCCCTGCAACAGCAGCGACAAAACATTTGTTGCCAGCTACGCTCTGAACCATGCAGCACCAAAAATGGCGCAGGATGGTTCGCAGGGGCTGAGCGAGGGTGTCCGGCTGCACCGCTGAGGGAAAGGCTTCTCCCTGCTCTGCCGCAGCTTTTTGTCACCGCCCCGGTGACATTTAGGCAGCTCAGGGGAGCAGCTGCAGCATATGCGGCTCTGGCTCCACAATGTTCTCACCTCCCATCCCAGGAAGAGAGACCAACCTCACGGGCAGGAGCTGCCCAGCTGCAACCCACCGCCAGCATCAGGTGTGAAAGGAGCTGGATAAACAGGACAGGAGCAGGGACATGTATTGAAGGTGACAGTCCAGCTACTGCCCCTGGCTCAACCCCTACGCCGACTGCCATGTGCAGGAGAAGCCTCGCTGCGCCCCGGTGCTGACTCTTCCCCCGGCATCTCCTACCAGCCACCGAACACCCGACGGGCAGGCGGCCGCAGCCTGACCCACCGCGGCTGCTCCCGGTTCTTACCTGCTCCCCGGCTGGGGGGGTCTCTGGCTGGCGGAGGGGGGCGACTGCTCTGGAGAGACGGGGAGGCTGAAGCAGGCGGCGGCGGCGCAAGACCCCGCAAAGGGCCCGGCGTCTTCCTGTGCAAGGAGTTGTGTCTCTGCGGCAGCTCCGGGGCAGACTCGTTGATGGGGCTGGAAGGGCCGTTGGGGACACCGGGGGGTTGCCGATAAG